TTAGAAAAGTCACTAAACAAATACACAACTATAATCCACAATAAGCAACAGCAACAAATTCTGAGGAAGGGGGCAGAATCTGATTTACAGAGATACCACATTATGATGTTCTAGATCCCCGATTTTCAACAATGAAAAAATTACTAGGCATGCAAAAGAAATAAGAAAGTATAGCCCATTCACAGGAAAAAAAGAAATTAACAGAAACTGTCCCTGAGGAAATTCAGACATTGGACTTACTAGACACGACTTTATTATTAATTTTTTTTTTTAAGAGAAGGAGTCTTGCTCTGTTGCCCAGGCTGGAGTGCAATGGCATGATCATAACTTACTATAGCCTCAAACTCAGGGGCTTCAAGTGATCCTCCTGCCTCACCCTCCTGAGTAGCTGGGTCTATGGGAGTACACCACCACATTCAGCTAATTTTTTAACTTTTTGTAGAGACGGGGGCTTGCTATATTGCCCAGGCCTTAAATGATCCTCCTGCCTCAGCCTCCCAAAGTGCAGGGATTATAGGTGGGAGCCAGTGCACCCAGCCCAGACAAGACTTCATATCAACTATCTTCCTAACTGACCTGGCCCTGTCTACCTCTTGTACATCACCTTGGATCAGCCTATGCTTTGCTCACCATCACCAGTCACACTGGCCTTCTTGATGTTCTTCAAACCATCAAGCTTGTTCCTGCCTTTGGCCTTCAGACATGCTGTGCACTCCCTCTGGAATGCTTTTCACTCACTTCTTCGCAAGGCTCACTCCACATACTCTGGTCTTTGCTGATATTTTACCTCCTCAGAGGCACCTCTTTTGACTACTTTATCTAAGAGAGCCACATCCATCCCAACTCACTACAATTTCTGTTCTCTTTCATTGTTCACTTTATCACTCTCTGAAGTTATTTTCATTATTTATGTGTTTATTTATTATATGTTTCCCTTACTAGAATGTAAGCTCCTTGGCAGCAAGTACTTTATTTGTGTTGTATACTGTGGATCACCCATCTAAAACAGTGAGCCATAACGGGGCTAGATAAATATTTATCAAATGAATACAGATGATTTATACATGTTAAACAAAGAAAAAAAATCACAAAAAGCTTATAAAATTTCTGTGAGAAATCTCCCTCACCTCAGAAATTTTGCTCACCAGCTGTTTAATGCCTCTGTTAGAGAAAGGCTATCTATTGATGATGCCCCAAATGAAGTGAGACAGTAGAATGCCTCATGTCACTGTGCCTGTCATTTCCATCCTAGGGAAGGTAATCACACGTGTGTGTCTATTGGGGGGATGGTGAGAAAACCTCCTGCCCCCCTGTAAGCACTGACCTGGTCAGGGACTGAGAAGTGTGACAGTGAGCTGTGGGCAAACCTCTCCATTGGTCCCCTGAGACCAAGAAAGCCAGGCCGGTTTTGGTGGTGGTACTGGTCAAGGCGTCCTTGAGATTTCAAAGTAACACTGTCTTTGGCAGAGGTTCAAAGCAGGGTAGTTGCTTAGTAATGCCTTAGGTGAAAAAAATGGGACAGTCAACTGACTGGATTTTGTCTCTCCTTGTTCTGCAACTTCAGAATCATTGTCCAGAGAAAAGAATCCTCCCTGATTCTGGTAAGTTCTAAAACAACCTGAAAGAAGAAATGATTCTGTAGAATTAAATTTATGAACAGCTGTGGGCCTATCTCATCAAGGATTAAACTACTTTTACTCTGAATGAAAATCTTTCTAGAACCTATTACATATATCTTTTACTTTTTCAATATATTGGCCACTTTCTTTTCTTCCAAAAGACACTACAATGAGCTCAGTAACATTTTCTGAGGCAGTAGGGCATGGTAGTAAAAATACTGCTTCTGAGGCCAGACAGCTTGGGTTCAAAGCTGGGCTTTGTCTCTCACCAGCCGGGCAAGTTAACATCGTGTGTCTGAGTTTCTTTAACTATAAACGTTAGTACCTACCTCATAGGCTTCTTGTAAGGACTAAATCAGTTAATTACATTACATGTATTAATCAGTTAATAAGGACTAAATCTAATACATTTTATGTATTGATCAGTTAATGAGGACTAAATCAGTTAATACACGTAATGTACTTAACACACCGTCTGGTATATAGTACTGCTCAAAAACTGTCAGTTGCTACTGCTATGACTACGGTTATGGTTATGATTACAGTAATATTTTTTTTAGTGTCTTGAGCTCATTATAAAGATCTTAAATTATAATATGCTACACAACCTAATGATAGCTTTTTTAAAGGGAATAGGGTTATGGCTTTTACATAAAATGGTCCCAGAATGATTTGCTGGAGTGCTCTTCTATGCTGTTTTATAGTTTTTATATTTTTCTTTGTGAAGTCTCTGGTTTTCGCTTCTCACCATTGTTGGTAATTTTTCATATCCGTATCAGCCTCTTTCCATACTTCTATTTTTGCAGAGGGCATAAAAAGTGTAAACCACATTTCTAGACATATGTGTTAAGTAAGAAATAATATGTTCTAAACTAAGTTGAAAAAGCTCTCCTCTGAATAGAGAAAAGGCACTTGAGTCCATGGACATCTCTTTGGGCTATTCAGAGGTATTTTATGTTTTTCTTATTTCCTGTTTCTTAGGCAAATATAAAAAGTTATCAGAAAATTAAGTTTCTGGGGTGAGTGATAGATGTAACGATGGTTATATATAAAGTTAAAATTAGGAAGCCTCACATATAAGAATAACATCTACTGGATGTTGGGCAGGGGGGAGGGGGAGGAGGGGACTATTTTCATGCACAAAGAGTGCAATGCGCACCACTCGAAGGATGGACATATTTGAAACTCGGACTTGGGGGGGAGGGGGGGCAAGGGCAACATACGTAACCTAAACATCTGTACCCCCATAATATGCTGAAATAAAAAAAAAAAAACAAATTAGGAAGCCTCTAATTTAGTTCAAACAAATACCCTAAATACTCATTACACTTCTACTACATGCTACATACTGGGGGAATAAAAATGAATGATATGGTCCTGAACCTCAAGAAGGTTGCAGTTTAGAGGGGAAGATAAAGTATAAACAAAAACATCAAGATAATATAGTTAGAGATGCCAAAGTTTTTCACACCAGGTGGGGGTCTAGAGGAAGGGCCCTCAACGTAACCCGTAACCCGGGAACTCAGGGAAAGCTTCCCAAAGAGGATCATGCCTAAACTGAGCCTTGACGACACTCAAGTGAAGAAAGGTTTGATGGGCTATTCTAGGCATGGGAACAGGAGAGCTATTGAGAGGCAGGAAGCAGCACAGTGCTCTTGTGAGAGCATGAAGCTATGTGTGTAAAGAATAAACAGTTTGATATTACTGTGATTAAAAAACAATGATGGGAAATGGTGAGCAATGAAGCTTGGAGGTAGACTCTACAGGGTCAGACTCCAGAGCTCCTCTTATGTCACGCGGAGGAGCTTGAATGTTACTTGTTAAGAGATGTGGAGCCATTAAGAAAACCTTGAGAAAAATGGCAATTTTCAGATTTTCATTTTAGATGTATAAGTCAGATAGCAGTGTAAAAGACAGAGCAAAACTAGAAAAGACTGGGGAGAGATCAATCAGAGGGTAGTTGCAATTAATAAGCTAGAGACAGTAAAGCCTGAAAGAGGGCAGGGCAGCAGTGATGGTGGGAAAGAGAGGGTCCCAGATGTATTTGGACGATAAAATTGGAAGGCCTTGGTGACTTAACAGATGAAGTAGGTACAAGACTGAGAGAAATCTAGGATGACTATCAGGTTTTAGGCCTTGAATTACTGTGTAGATGATAATGCAATTAACTGAGATAGGAATAGGTGTTTTGTTTTAAATTTAGTTTGGTTTTTGTTTTTCATTTCTTTTGGAGGGTAGGCAGAGGAAGATAAATAGTGAGTTCAGGTTGGGACATATTAAGTTTGAGGTAATTATGGGAGAGGTCAGATATAAATTTTATGGAGTAATTAACAGATAGATAAAACCATGAAAGTAGATGGAAGCCCTTAGCAAAAAGCGTGAAAAGAGAAGAGCAGCAGAACAAGGGTGAGATGTTTAAAGAGAGACCCAGAGGCAGATGGCCCATGAAAGAAACTGAGTCACCACACTGAGAGGCACAGGGAGGCAACAGTGCCATGAAAGCCAAAGCCAAGTATGAGTTTCAGACACAGCGGTCAATAAAGCTAAACACACTTATAACATTTTCGGAGGACTCACTATATGTCAGACACTGTGCTGTTTTATATACCATATCTCATTTAATCTAGTATCCACACGCTACTACAGATGATGAATCTGAAGTTCAGAGAAGTCATGTAACTTACCCAAGGTCATAAGGTGAGCTGGCAGAACTGGGATCTGAACCCAGGTCTGCTGGATTACAAAGCCCATGTTCTTAACTCTGCTGGAGTAAAAGAACTTCTTCAGGATGCAACTTAATATTATGATAATAAGGACTGCTATATATTGCTTTTCCAAGAAGCGTATCTTAAAAATCTAATAAGTCTCAAAGGAATATTTAATATTAATACCTAATGAGGTCATTATATATTTGATCACTTTATATCGTTAAAATAGATTATTTCAGTGATACGTGTTTATATTATCTTTATATAATAAATACCATAATGGTCAATTTATGAGAACAATAAAATGTAACACAAGGGAATCCACTCAAGTGACTAAAGCACTGCTCCAATAAAGCCAAATGGAAGGTTCTAGTTGGTCTAGTTAGTATTCTTCACAGGAAAACTAAGTGCCCTGAACTTAGACACCTAAGCCTACTCAGCTTTCTCACAAATTTACTAATAGTCCCCAGAAGAACCAGAGAGGGTATGCATAATTTAGCACAAACCTAACACAAATGTGAAAAATTCATTAAAGTATACATTCTATGGAAGGTTTATTTTAGGTAATAAATGATTATCCATTTAAAGATAGAGAATAAGCAAGTCACAGTCCTATTATAAAAGTTGTAATTTTCCTATTTCCCACTAGAGGAAGCAATAGCATTACTCTTACCATTTGGTGGATAAAAGACAGCATATTCTTCTAGTCCCAGTTTTCCTATAAGAGAAAACCGGAGTTTCAATGATTAAGTAAAATAAATCTTGAAAAACCAACTTATTCTGTGAATACACTAAAAATTAATGGAATTTTTAAAACTACTATAAATCAATCTTACTTCATTTCATGATATGGAATTAATTTGAAAATTTACTATACAATCTTTTGATATTAGCAAACTCTTTCATCAATTAAAGTCAACAATATAAACTTAAGTACAAAGGAAGTGATACAAAATAATCAAAAGAATAAATACTTTCGAGCTCCTTAAGTACTTAAGAGAAACATCTGTTTATATGCACAGAATTGTTTTGCTAATTATAAATAATTCTAATCTATTCATTAATGCAAGCTCCAAATTTGCAATACTACATTAGTTTTTATGAAATGTGCTGATAAGTTAAAAATCAAATGTCTTTAACTGTATGGTGGTCATATTTTCTGAATCCCAAAACAGTTCATATAAGAATGGGACTAAATATTTGAAATCAGAATTGTCCCAGAAAAGTAAAGTATATTCACTATAATCAAATGTTTAACAGAGTTTTAAAAAGTAGCTTTCCCTCAAAACCGTTAAGGTTCTTAGTTTTTTCCCCACTTTTCACTGAGTATCTTTAGATAGTTTTTATCTGGACAGTTTTTCTAATACCTGTGAGTCTATAGACAAGTCACATGCATTCTTGCAGTGGGCTTTAAAATAACATCTTTAATTAAAAATATATATTTTTTGTTCTTGTTAAGGGGTGGTGACAGAGAGGAGATGAAGACTAAGAATGAGCGGTTCAGGTTAGGGTGAAGACAACAGGACTGATCTTGTGAGGAGAGAACGGAATAACGAAAAATAGATGACAGATTAAAGTTGACTACTGAACTAGGTGCTGAGAGGTGAACAGAATAAATATAAGATATGGTCCCTCAACCATATGGTTATAATCCAGATGAAACCATGAAATGTTAGGGTATATGTGCTAACTTTTCTGGCACAGGCTTCAGGTATTTAAGATCCTGTCTCTAAAAAAAAAGAAAAAAAAGGAAATTGAGAGGAGAGGAAAATTGATGATAGCTGATAGCTTTGTGGACATGAGGAGGGTACAGGCTAGTTCCACAAGGACCTATGATTTTGGGGTGGAGGAGTGGAAAGCCTTCCACATGCAGGGAACATATGGAGGCTAGAATGAATATGGGGTATTGTGGAATAATCATGGAAGCAAAGTTAGCTAGGTTAAGACAGTAGCAACTGATTGAGGGCCTTAAAATCCTGGCTGAGTTTAGAGGTGAGCCCATTAGATATTAAGTTCTACAATCAGTTTTTCAGCAGATGATGTTAAAAAAAACAAAGGTTTACGTAAATTTGATTTAGAAGCAATGCAACTAAGAGAGCCCTAAGTTGGGGGGAGTCTGACTCCAGCACAAGGTAATGTGGCTTGTCCTAGGGTGGGGTTGGAGCAATCAGCAGGTAGGTCAGACTTAGGAAATACAGGATAGTTTCTTTTTTCATGGAAACTGCAGAATGACCATACACAAGGGGGTCTGAGCTTTCAGTGCTGGGTATTCACCACTTAGTAAAAAAGAGAAGGTGGGAAGAGCTTTCACCGAAAGTTAGTTTTCAGGTGATGGCAGGATATTGAAATAGTGATATCTTATAGGCAGCCACTGATAAAGAGAAGAAAGCACTAAAAAACAGAGCTAATAGCATATCATCATATCAAAATTTTAAGTGTGGTGGAACATTTTGAGAGAAAGAATATATAAGGTAAAAAACAGAAGTAGAAAAAGCAAATCCACGTAATAAATTCATAGTTAGAAAAGAAAAGTCAGCAGATATAACAAAAACAGCAATAGAGAGAGCAAACTAGGAAGACAGTGAAGGGTAACTTGAAATGCTGCTTCTGGGAACCGCTTTTCCTGTGACTTGTGATAAGCTGCTTGGGCACTGATTTAAGTGAGAGCGAAAGGACAGTTACAGTCATCTGAAAGGAAATCTAGTAATTTACCAAAAAAAAGGAAAGGAAAACACCAATATATGTCATAAAATAAACCAGCATTCTTGGTAGGTTTATGTAAATCTTAAAGAATACTTCCTTAAAATTACTAAAATTTTACCTCTTATGTATGATTTCGGTGGCGAAGCACTGTTATATGCAAAGTGACTCAACACAGATGTATCCCGGGAAAAACAGAGTAATACCTGGGTATAACATTGGAAAAAACAAGCCATTAAGCACTGTTATAAAACCAGATAATTCATTCCTATTTCCTACTTGGAAAGCGTTGATGTGTCATTGTTCCAGATTCAGTACAGTGCCTTGTGATGGGAAGATGCCCTCTGTCCGTATACCTGTGGCGTTATAGTGGGATGCCACATGTCAACGGCCAAAGTTCTTCCAAAGAGTTCTCACTCTTTGCAACTAAACTTTGATCAACAGCAGAAAATGCAAGTTGCTAACCACCAGTTGATTCTTTTCTTGTGTCTTCTATCTGGGAAAAAGAAACACCTGGGAGAAATTTAGCAGATGAGAAATGTACAGGGCAGACCCTAGGTAACTGCAGTGGCACAGGGCAATTTGAAAAGTGCAGGAAATAAATTAGACTCACTGCTGGGATGCAGCAGGCATTGGGCGTGTCAACTCATTGACCTGCACTTACTCAACCCGCTGTGCCTGTTACTTTTATCCCTCTGTGCTCCATTGTGGATGATTTCCTCAGATTTTTTTTTTTTTTATATCAGTTTACTAATTGTCTTCTGCTTCTACTATGCACCAGGTACTGTTCTAGGGGTAATAAGTAGCAAATGTGATAAATAATTATATTACATAGTATTTTAGGTGGTAAGTGCTATGGGAACAAGGTAAAAGGGAACAGGGAACAGGTGGTTGTCATTTTAAAGAGGGCAGTCAGGGAAGGCTTCATTGAGAAGGTGACATCTGATCAAAGTCTTGAAAGGAGTTGAGAAACTTAGCATGTGGCTATCTGGTGAAGAGCATTCCAGACAGAAGAGCCAACAGCTGCAAAGGTGCTAAGACGGGCGCATGCCTGATGATTTGGAGGAGCAGCATGGATGCCAGTGTGGCTGCAGCAGAGGAGTTGAAAGACATATGTCAGAAAGAAAGAGAGGACGAATCAGGCAAGGCATTGCAGGCCACTGAGGGGATGTTGGGTTTTATTGGGAGTGAAATGGGGAGCCATTGCAGGATTTTAAACAGAGGAGTGAAATGATCTAAGATATTTTATAAGGATCGCTCTGACCACTGTGACGAGAATTGGCCATAAAGGTCAAGTACAGAAGCAGGGAGACTAGTTAGGAGACTACTGATAGTGGCTTGGACTCAGATGGCAGCAGTGTGTGGTGAGTGTGTGAAGAACCACCCAGAGATCTTCTCAAAGAATGAAGGACTTTTTAGAGCAGCTGGTAGTGCTATAGCAGACAGTCCTCAGCAGCCAGTCCTTTCATGGATTACCTCTGCTGAAGAGAGCTATTTTGCTCAAATATTAAGATCACACCCTTTATTTTTTTCCTGGAATGGCCCACATCCAATGAAGATGATGTAAGAGAAAAAGGCCTCAACCTCTTGTCCCCCACTCAGGATGGGTCTGAGAGTTGACCCCTTCTTCAGAACTCTCTGCGGCATTGGCTGAGGCTTCCATTTAAACTGTATTGCAGCTAGACTTTTCCTTCTGCTCAACCTTGCTTCACTTACTGCGCTTCCACAGTTGTTGATTCGAAGAGCACTCCCTGATAAACCTGCAGCATGCTCATCTCCATCTGAGTTGGCTTCCCTGGGAACCCATCTTACAACATAGTGAAAGTGGGGAAAAGTGGTCAGATTCTAAATACACTGTGAAGGCAGGGCCAACAGGATTTACCAACAGGTTGGATGTAGTGTGTGAGACAAAGACAGGAGTCAGGGATGTAACAAGTTGAAAATGGAAGGATGCTTGATTTGAGAAAGTGGAAAGTTAGGAGTTACTATCCACTGAAACAGGGAAAGCAGCAGGCAGAACCGTTTTGGGAGTGAAATGAGGGGTTCAGTTTTCAATGTATTAAGTTTGGGATGTCTGCAGGACATTTAAATGGAGATGTTGAATTGGCAGTTGGAGATTTTTAGTCTGGAGTACAGGAGTAAAGTTTGAACTGAAGATATAAATTTGGGAATTATCAACATATAGATGGTAACAAAAGCCACAAAATAGGTAAGCTTGGTGAAATCAAGTGAGTGAGTGTAACCAGAGAAGGGAAGACCAAGAACTGAGACCTGAGTAATTCTAAAGTATCAGAGAGAAGAGAAGGAACTAGCCTAGAAGGGTAAATCCACCTCTGCTATCCACCATGATGCGATGAAGGGGCTTTAGGGCTTCTTCCTTCACACAGGTCCCTGTGAGTGTTGGAGGTAGCTGGGAGATATAGAGTGTTCTAGGCAAGCAAGGTAAGTCAGGTTGTAATCAGAAAGCATTTCTACGTATGCATTTCTGGTAAACTGTTTAATAAGATCTCAGAAGAAAATGACTTGAATCTCTATAATTCTAATGATTTGTTATTATTTTTTCCTTATTCTAAACAAAAATATATATTCTTACCTGATTTTTTATTTGTAATATTATATTCTCTTTCTTTTAAAGAAGGCCCTCCAAATTGTATAAGCTTTACATCCCCAAAATGCTGGATTTGCCTCTAGTGACCAGTAAAATAAGAGGAAATCTAAAAAGAGTTGATGTCTTGAAAGCCAAGTGAAGGAAGAACAGAACTGGGTCAAATGCTGTTGAGAGATCAATTAAGAAGAGTATGGAGAATTGGTCATTGGATTTAGTTATTGGTGACCTTGACAAGAGCTGTTTCGGCTCACATGGCAGGGCATCATATATGTTTGGTATCTGCTTTTTTTAAACAATGCATTAAAGAGATCTTTTCATATCGATATATATATAGAGCTTCTTCATTCTTCATTCTATATCTTTGATTAGCCCTTAAATTTATCTAATGGGTTAGTCTCCTATAAATTAACATTTAATAATAAATTATTTTCAATTTTATGTGATTTCTGCCAGTACCAAAATAATTAGCCTTTTATTGTGCCATTTCACACTTAACGAGTGCCTCTGTGGGACAAATACATAGGAGTAGAATTGCCCAGTCAAAGGGTATATGCGTTGAAAAATGTGATGGCTATTTGGCTGTACATGTACATTCTTTATTATCTTTTATGTATCATTTCCACTAGGAAAGGGGGCTGTGTGAGTGAGCTCAGTCCCTTACGTTGCCTGACTCTTTATTTTCCACTATATATTCTAAATAATTTTTGCTCATATTTAAAAGAGGGCTGGGCATGGTGGCTGATGCCTGTAATCCTAGCACTTTGGGAGGCCAAGGCCTGAGGATTGCCTGAGCCCAGGAGTTTGAATTTGCAGTGAGCTATGATGACACCACTGCACTCTAGCCCTTGCGACAGAGCAAGACCCTGTCTCAAAACGAAACAAAATAAAACAAAACAAAGTAATAGGGATTTTAATATTTTATTTGGTAAAGAGGTATTTAACTGAGTCATCTTAGTTCTAATGTTTTCCAGTCCTATTCCTTGAATTATATATATTTCAATATATATATTGATATATATTTGATAATAATGTTATGTTCCTTCTGATATCTGTAACTCTATTTTTCTTATCTTATTCATTGGCTAGAAATTCCAAAATGATCTGTGTTCTTTTCTTGCTTTAGAGGAAACATCTCTAATATTTCAATAATAAGTAACATTAATTTACATCAAGATGGTGAATATTAGTTTCACGTAAATACTATTATGTTGAGAAAATATACTTACTTTCTAGTGTAGAAAGAGTTAGTATAAAAAGAGTTAGGGATGAAAAATTACCTATTGGGTACAATGTACATTATTTTGGTGATGAGTGCACTAAAAGCTCAGACTTAGCCACTATATAACATATATATGTAATGGAATTCAACTTGTATTCCCCAAATCTATTGAAATAAAAAAATTAGGTTATACAAAAATGTGAATATATTTAACATTACTAAACTGTACACTTAAATGGTTAAGATGATACATTTTATGTTACCACAATTAAAAATTTTTTTAAATGGATAATATCAAATACAGTTTCATACATATTTTTGGTATCTATTTAGATAATAATATGATTTTTATTTCTTGACTTATTAATGTGATGTTTTCTAATAATTACGCAAAATCATTAGGCTCTAAAAAATTCTAAATCCGTAATATGTTATTGATCCAGTAAATACTATTAATCTTTTCTCTTGCCAAACTTTCACACACCACTGTGGGAAGCAGACTAATGCTCCCCTAAAGATGTCCACTTCCTAATCTCTGGAATTTCTGTGCTATGGTTTGTCTCTACCAAAATTCCTATTGAAATTGGATTCCCAGTGTGGTAGTGTTGGGAGCTGGGGCCTAGTGGGAGGTGTTTGGGTCTTGGGATGGATCCCTCATGAATAGATTAATGTACTCCTGTGGGACTTGCTTCATTACTGGGAGAGCAGGTTGTTCCTTCTATATTTGGTCTCCTTGCACATGCCCCCTTTCTCTTCCATTTTCTGCCATGAGTTGAAGTAGCATGAGACTTTCATGAGATGAGCTGTCCGATCTTAGACTTTCCAGCCATCAGAATTGTGAATCAAATAAACTTCTATTCTTTATAAATTACCCAGTGTCAGGTATTCTGTTACAGCAACACAAAACAGACTAGACACTAAGATTAAGACATTAAGTGGATATGTTACCTAACGCCAGCATTCCCCAACATTTTTGGCACCAGGGACTGGTTTCATGGAAGACAACTTTTCCATGGATGGGGAGGGCTGGAGGTGGAGGGGGCTGAGGGGTGGAGTTCTTTGGCCCAGTCCCTAACAGGCCACAGACCAGTGCCAGTCTGCAGCCCAGGGGTTGGGGATCACAGTCTTACACAACAAAAGGGATTTTGCAGATGTGATTAAATTGAAGATCTTTACATGAGAAGATTATTCAGGATTTTCTAGGTATGCCCAATGTAATCACAAGAATCCTTATATATGAAAGAGAGAGGTAGCAGGGTCAGCATCAGAGAGAGATTTGAAGATGCTATCTGCTGGCTTTGATGATGGAGGAAGGGGCCACAAGCCAAGAAATGCAAGTACACTCTAGAATCTGGAAAGGGCAAAAAATAAAAATTCTC